TCTTGTATGTTTTCCAATTTCTGATAATTGCTCCCACAGTTGATTTTTTCACACCAAGCTGCTTGCCTATTGTAGATTCACTCTTCCCAGTCTGGTGCATGTCTACAATTCTTTTCCTGGTGTCCTTCGAAAGCTCTTTGGTCTTGGCCATAGTGGAGTTTGGAGTCTGACTGTTTGAGGCTGTGGACAGGTGTCTTTTATACAGATAATGAGTTCAAACAGGTGCCATTACTACAGGTAACGAGTGGAGGACAGAAAAGCTTCTTAAAGAAGACATTACAGGTCTGTGAGAGCCAGAGATTTTCCTTGTTTGAAGTGACCGAATACTTATTTTCCACCCTGATATACAAATAAATTCTTTAAAAATCCTGCCATGTGAATTCATGGATTTTTTTTCACATTCTGTCTCTCACAGTTGAAGTGTACCTATGATGTAAATTACTGACCTCTGTCATCATTTTAAGTGGGAGAACTTGCACAATCGGTGGCTGACTAAAAACTTTTTTGCCCCACTGTAAATGTCATTATGAGCTGCAAAATGAGTGTTTCATACCACAAGGAAGCAGCAGCAGCTGAGCCCAGGTAAAGGTCATGCAGGGTCAATGGAGCTTTGCATTTCCCAACATGTGGAGGCAGAGTGAGAGCTGATGTGGATCCAGTCAGCACCAGCTTTCACATTTCCTGTATTTAAGTGAGTCAGCTGGAAGCATTTAAAGGTGGGATGCAAACGTAGGCTTTAGTGAGCCTGCCAATCCCAGCTGATTCAACCAGAGATGGTTATCAGTGTAGCTTCCTAATAGCAAACCAGCTGATATTCGGTGGAGAAATGTTTATAATTGAAATATAGTATGCCTTTTTTTTAGTTATAATAGCAAAACATGTTTGTGATGTTCTTGGCACTCAAACCTGATTTAAACTTCTCTGTGAGCTCCGGAGTGTAGGAAAGGTTTTCACATTCGAACTTCTGTTCAGGCAGAAAATCAATCAAGTGTTGCAAAGCAATTCCCTGCCAGGACAACAGAGGGCGTAGCGCTGTTCTGTGGTATCTTGCAACCATTACACTCATGTATCCGGTCTATGATAGTGTATTTACTAATGTGTTTAGATATTTCAGAGACTTTATGACATTGTCCTGAAGGACAATTCTCATCCACCTCTCCATGCGGTCGCCACCTCTAAACCCCCATTTCCCGTCGTTTTCATCCATGTTTGCTCCGTGTTTTGTACTCCTTCACTCACGAGTGAATAAATGTTTATATTTTCGTACTTTTTCCGCGGTGCGTTCTTCAATCTGTTTGGGGTCCCCTGCTAAATATCTGTTTACTTTTTAATGGAGCTGCAGTGATGCTGATGATGAATTTACAAGGAGCGGCATCCTGACCAATCACAAGCTTGCGGTCTCAGTCATTTTTGACGGATGTTTAAAATTTAGGGCATGTCTCTGTCACCCTCTGTGAGCCCGTCGGAGAGCCCTTGCGCCGACGCATAATGGTGTTGCGTGTCTCCGCATTGACGCAGACGGAGAAGTATAAATCAGGCTTAAATCCTTCTCATATAAAGCGATTTCAGATGTTTTATTCTTGATATTTTCAGTACCTTCCAGAATGAGTCATTTCAGGGCTCTGTCACCTTATGAGAACAGCTGAGGCTGGCCACGCCCACTCATCCCCTGATTTGATGCTATGAGATAAAAAGCTGGTATATCCAGCATTGAGCTGCTGTTCCTCCAGCATTGAGAGGTGGAAGGTGGTTCTATTCTACTTTCCCAATTAGTGACATCACAAATGGGGACGTATTAAAACGGCTTGCTTCATGCACATAGTTCCTAAAATCAAACATTGATGCAAAATTGATGGACAGATTTTATTCACAGTAGGAATTTATTTGGCTGCAGTAGAGACCCCCAATGTGGCACAAAAAGACGAGTTTTGCAAAAAATGTCCCGTCTAAATGCAAGGTACAACTTTAAAAACAAAATCTAATTTATATTCAAAATACAACGCTGAAGACCATACAATGAGTTTATGTAACAGTTGTTTTCTAACAATTAAAAACTCACTCAGAACATTTTCTGTGGTTTACTATATCAATAGCTAAAAAATTGAATCAACAAAGTAAACATGAACTTGGACTATTTAGAGAATTATTGAATTTATACCTTTGGTACATATTTATATTGCCAATGTCAAAGTATGATGCATTATATCAAACATCCATAGTAATTTAATTATTCATAATCGTGAGCTTTTTGAACCCTTATTATTGCTGAATACGTATTTATCATAACTCTGGGTCAACAACAACAATCTCAGTGACAAAAACTCCTTTCTACCCGTGTGTAACTCTAGAGTTTGGGATTTTAACCCTTTGATGCATAATGGTCACTACAGTGGACAGGTACTCAAAATTGTTATTTATTTGTTTTTGCTATTAAGCACAGCTGTTGAAGACTTTATTGCATTTGAGCCCCTCCATTTGGACTTCAGTAAGCCAAGCCAACATATTTCATGCTCAGAATGCACGCTGTCCACTGAGGTGGACATGTAATAAATTATTTGTAAATTATAAAATTTTACAAAAAATATTTGTTGAAATTTATTTCATTCACACCTAAAGATGAATGAAAAAAATTGTTACAAAAATCATGGTTGAAGGTTTCCTAATTCATGCATCAAAGTGTTAATCTAATTTTTCAGTTCTCAATCATCTGACAATATTGTGTATACAAAGCTTTTACAGCTGTGGGAACATTTCTGGCTGACAATCATGAGCAATTTCTTTAACGAAAACATTTCAGCAATCGAAATCAGTCTGTAGATGACAGAACAGACCGTTCTTGGAAAACTCCCAGGTTATTACATACTCTCCTTCTGCATTACTCTCTCTCCGTCTGCTTTGAGACCAGCTGCTGAGGTGTGACCAATAACACAGAGAAGAACGTCTGCTTGAAGGTTTCAGCCTATGTATCTGCTCTCATGAATCCACAGGTTGGATCTGGCCCTGAATGAAGGTAGAGTGCTTTGTCCAGACTCTGAACGCTATGTGTCAAGCTGTTACATTCCTCAGGTCATGTGACTCCGTCTCTGCATGAAAAACCAAACTTCACCCTTTTGTTCTCAGTTTTAAGACTTTTAAACAGATTTTTGGAAGATAGGGAGAGTAAAACAAGGAATGCTCCTTTTGGGTTCTGAGGGTCAGGATGGTGAATATTGTACTGGTTCTCTCATTTCATCAGGATGTTTCACCCTAACAAACTGTTCATTGCTCCTTTTCTCCCTTTCTCCTTTTCTCTTTCCCAGTCTGAAAACAATTCTACTGTGATCAAATCCAAATGAACCCTTTGACCACTTTGCCATTTTCTTTGTTAAAGACAGAAACAAGGAGTCAAGTGAATGGTGGCATATTTCTGCAGCAACTTGCAGAAAACTTTTATTTTAGCAAAAGTGCATTTTATCCACAATGCATAAAAGCTTGGGTCTCATTCAACATGCATTAATTTAAATAAGCTCAAAGGTTGGAATTTCCATGTTCAGTCTTGGAATTCTGACTCTGATAGGTGGATGTTTCTTATCAGCTTTAATCTCTACACCCAATATGAATTATTCATGCATGAAAAGTATTTATAGCTGCATTCTTTTAGCAGCTTTGGTCATTTTTATCTAATTAAATCCATTCCACACACACGGTACTGTCCACCTTATGCACCAAAGGCAAAGAAATGCATTGCCTGATTGTATGACTCAAATTCTTTGGTGCGCTGCTTTAAATATGTTTGTAACAGGCAGAGTATTGAGGAAAATCATTTAACAAGCTGCTAACGGGCTCTCATTTCCAACAATGTCATCCCTAAAGGCAGGGCGATGCTAGAACTTCTGCACAGAGATGAGATCACAGCTAGCTTTTCCTGGATCCTGAAAAGCACCCACCCACCCACACAGTGATGTATTGGTTCCATGTGCCATTCTGTTTTCCTCCCCGTCCCATTTGTTGATGTGTTCTTTACTTTTTATATTCTGCATAACTTTAGTCCTGATGTTTGTCCTGATTGTAGATGGAAGCCCAAACCTGGTGACTAAAATAAGAAAAGCCGATGTGGAAAATGGGTTAGAAAACAAAGGAAGCAGTAGAAGAAGGACATGTGTTAGAGTCTGATCCCTGTCCCCACATGTGCTCACTTCATTATCGCTTAGCTGCAACTCATGCTGCAGGAATGCAGTACAGCAAAAACATGCCCACCTCTAAAGTCCCCAGTGATATTAAAGCGTGCACACACACACACACACACACACACACACACACACACACAGCTCAATACTTGGCTAATCACTGTGCCACCAAGCCTTGCTTCCTCTACCTTGACTGGACCACAGTAATCGAGCTGCAGGAGTTTACTTTGGCTGGAAATTTGATGGACACTAAAAAGATGTCACGGAGTCAGTGGAAAGATGCTGCTAATGAAAAACACATGACCAAATCACCGTGCTGTCTTCCTAACAATAGACAAGTGGGTGGAAGACAGTTGGGCTTTTCCTAACAGACAGCTAGTGTTCAAAGTGCTTGCTGCATTCATCAGATGCACACATAAATTTGCACCACAGTGGGGTTTTTCATGTCTTCTGAGGCAGATCTCTTCCTCCTTTGGTGCACCTAAACATAACAGTTTAGACACTTGAAAGAGCTTGGTGTTCTCCAGAAAGAACTGGGATTAAATCTACCTGGAATGAAGCCAAAGAAGAGGGGGAAAATATGCTGCTGTGACCCTTAGAGGAAAAAAAGCCAAAAAAACAAACCCAAAAGGCTGGCTGGTCCACCAAAGAGGAGAGAGGAAGAGGGAGGGCAGGGTTATGGATGAGGAGAAACACAGGAATGGAGAGAAAGAGGGAGGGGTAGGTAGTCTGAAAAGCAGAGAGAAGTGAAGACGCTAGCTTGTGAGTTGATAAAAAGGGCAGGTACCAGAGAGGTAAGAAAGTTACTTTCTTGTCCTTTGGGACTGTTTTGGGTTGTCTTTGATCAATATGGATGAAATCGGTGAGCAGGTCTGCAGCAGAGTTTCTAACAGAAGGAGATAAAGACAGAGAGGAAGGGTGGTGTTTAAATCCATGGCTCTAACAGCTGAGACGTGCCATTTGGTTTCTATAGAAACACACAAAGATACAAAGTGGTACTCTGTCGTCTGAGGAGCTGCTACTCTCTGCATCAAGGGCATGTTGCCTCTCTCTATCACACACTCACCTTGAGGTAAAGTTTTCAAATGAGCCGTTTCGAAAATCCGTAGCAGGAAAGTCACCGTTTGTGGAGATTTTTGAAAAGTGCAATGTAAGTATTACTAAAGTAAAACATTTTTCAACTCTGCTGTTAACAAAAACTGAAAAGGAATAATCGGGAAATGTTTTTTTAATCCTCTCAGGAATGCAGTTTTTAACAAACACGCTCTGCTAAATTACCGACACGTTGTTTGCAGAAACTTTCTGCAGAAACGTTCTGCAGAGTGGAAAGAATGCACAAAAACAAACAAAAATCAATCTGTTTAGCTGGCTGGTGATCAGCAGACTGAGTCAGACTGGAAAACAGATTGGAATCTACAGAAAAGGGTGATTTTAATTTTTCTGAAGTGAATCAAACCTTTGATTTCATTTTACGGTTTATTCAATAAGTTCTAACAGTTTTGCTGCTTTTATGTGTCGTTGTGGCTCCCTTTCTCGATAAAATCTGGGATTTTTCCCACAAGAATTCAGCATATCTGTACTTGTGTTGTTTATTCAAACTCACTTTCTAATATCACAGTCAGATGGTTGAATTACGCCCTGAAAGATGTGACTTGTGTTCAAAGCTGCAGTGGTTTGGCAAAGCTCTGGTCCTGACTCTGGTTAGAGGAATGACAGGAACTGTTCTGCCAAAACAAAAGCATTACATATGGGGACGTTCTTGTTTTTAAAGACTGACATGAAACCGGCCGCTATTAAATTATGTTGGATAGGAACTAAAGAAGATTTATTTTACAATGAATAATTGATGAAAGATGTGACCACTCCTGACTCTTGTTTCATGTATCATCTTCAGTTTCACCTTGTCGAAACTGATAAGGGAGTTGTGGGTGACTCTCAGCTAAGATCACGTCAAATCGTTTTAGCTCAATGTCTATAAAAAGCAATGAGTCGTGCTCGGGTTGACCAGCTTTAATGTGATTGACTGTAAAGTCTAATCAGTTGTAGATTCATGCCCAATGACGACTTTCTGGAAGCTTAAATAAAATCCATCAAGAGATTCACGAGGTTATTCTAACTCAGACAAAAACATGCATTTCATCTTTTGGCGGCAGCTGTTGATTAACAAATATCCATCTACCAGATAAGGGCTTCCTGCTGTCCGTTTTCTGGTTTTGTATTTTTGTTTGTGTTTTAATGGGTCTCCATATCTACGCACCAGTTTTTCTTTGAGGGTCCAGATTCGAAATTAAAACAGAAATGTGAACAGAACCGATGCGTTTCTGCATTTGGCAGAGGCTTCTGTCCACTGCTGCTTACAACTGAAAATGTAAGAATGCAGTTGCTACTGAGACTAACAACAAGTCAGAGGTGACGGGGTGAGAAACAGAGTGAAGTAGAGTAGAAGGGAAGTGAAGGTGCTAGGGTTTGAGATGCCCTCTGAAGAGTTGGGTCTTCAAGATGTTTTTGAAGATAGACAGGAACACCTTTATTCTGTTAGTGCTCAGTAGGTTGTTCCACCATCGTGGAATGACACATGAAGAGTCTTGATTGTCTTGAGTGGTGTGTAGGCATGTCTAGTCCAATAGGAGTTATTTAAGTCTTTGCAAAAGGACTGAGGGCTATGCAGGCTGATTGAATTTGATGCAGGCAGCCAAGAGAAGCCAATAGAGTTCAATGAACAGAAGGGTGATGTGTGCGCTTTTGACCTGCTGATTGAAGACCGAATGCGCCACCATGTTCTGCCCCATTTCACAGTACAGGCTGGGAAACCAGTTAGAAGGGCATTGTATTGGGATGGAGATGGGAAGCTGGGCAGCATTTTGTAGTAGGCACGGCCTAATACATCCATCCATCTTCATTTGCTTGTCTGGAGTTGGGTCGCGGGGGCAGCAGCCTGAGCAGAGGCCCAGACTTTCCTCTCCCCAGCTACTTAGGCCAGCTCCTCCAGGGGGAATTACTGGCGTTTCCTGGCCATCTGAGACACATAGTCCCTCCTGTGTGTCCGGGGTCTTCCTTTAGGTCTTCTCCTGGTTGGACGTGTCCAAATAAAATCAGGGAGTCTTCCAAAAGGCAACCTAACCAGATGCCAGAGCCACCTCAAAGGTGCTATTTTGATGTGGAGTAGAAGACAATCTCCTCCCTAACACTAACCCTCCTAGATGACCAAACTATTTACTCTATTTCTAAGGGAGAGCCCAGACACCCTGCGGAGAAAACTCATCTTGGCCGTTTGTATCAGTGATCTTAGCTCGTGAACATAGGTGAGGATAGGAACATAGAGCAACCAGTAAACTGAGAGCCTCGCCTGAACAAGACCCTGAGATACCTAAACTTTACTACTTGGGGCAGGACCTCATCCCTGACAAAGAGAAGGCATTCCACGCTTTTGCGAATCAAGACCATGGTCTCGGATTTAGAGGAGCAGATTCTCATCCCAGCTGCTTCAAACACGGCTGTGAACCTCTCCAAAGAGAGCCGGATATACGGACACCCTAACCACCTTGGCTGCACCTAGAAATCATGTCCATAAAACTTATGAACAGAATCAGTGACAAAGGGCAGCCTTGGAGGAGCCCAACTCTTGCCGGAAACAAACTCGACTCACTGCCAGTAATGCGGACCAAGCTCTGGCACCGGTCATACAGGGACCTAACAGCCCATATCAAAGGGCCTGGTACCCCATTCTCCTGAAGTACCCCTCACAGTGCCCCCCAAGGGACGCGGTTCTTCTTCTTCTTCTTCTTCTTCTTCTTCTTCTTCTTCTTCTTCTTCTTCTTCTTCTTCTTCTCCTTCTTCTTCTTCTTCTTCTTCTTCTTCTTCTTCTTCTTCTTCTTCTTCTTCTTCTTCTTCAAATGCCTTCTCCAAATCCTCAAAACACGTAGATTGGTTGGGCAAACTCCCACACACCCTCCAGGACCCCCCTAAGGATATAGAGCTGGTCCAGTGTTCCACGGCCAGGACAAAAACCATACTGTTGCTCCTGAATCTGAGGTTCGACAATCCAACAGACCCTCCTTGGAGCAACAGTTGTTGTGTTTGTATTTCATTAGGCCCGAGCAGCAAAGCGCTGCGAAGGCCTCTTGTTTTTGCTCTGTTTATTATTAGGCCCGAGCAGTGAAGCTGCGAAGGCCTATTGTATCTGCTCCGTTTATTATTTTTTTTCTTTTTTTTTAGGCCCGAGCAGCGAAAGCGCTGCGAAGGCCTCTTGTTTTTGCTCTGATTATTATTATTTTTTGTTATTCCGTGCCCCATTTGAACAGCTTTTTGGGGACCTTAACATACCCCAAAACTCACAATATTTTGCACACTTGTCAGGCCTGGTGAAAAATTTGATATTTTAAAGGTCCCAAAAAAATCGCAAAGAAAATGGCTGAACAGCGCCCCCTACAAAGTGAAAAAAACCCCTCTCCATAAAGCTTAGTTTATCGTACAGTTATGAAATTTGGTATACTTGTAGTACTCAACAGTCCGCACAGAAAAGTCTCTTGCAACCATGGTCAATATCAAACAGGAAGTCGGCCATTTTGGGTTGAAATGGCGATTTTTTGCCTTTTTTGCCGTTTTTAGGGTCCGTCTCTGATTGGATTGCTCGATCATTTTTCGCACGATCGTCTCAAAAATTGTGTAAAATTGCTCAGAAGGGATGGGCGAACAAAATGAGATAAGGATTCTGAGTTTTCGTATATGTTGAAGGGGCGGAGCCAGGCCTCAAAGTTTGACTACTCGCCAAAAAAATTTAAATTGCTATAACTTCATAATTGAACGGAATAGAGTTACCAAACTTTCTGTGGTAATTTGTCATTGACCCACAAAGTAAATTGAATGGTCGGTTGATGACATCACACAAGCCCCGCCCCCTCAGGACCAAAAAGGTCAAGTTTTACTGTGAAAGGTCCCAAATTGCCCCATTTCACTTAATCACCACAAATTTGGAGCTGGTAACTCAAGGCAAGTGGGGGTTGCTTGGCGTCACTTTATGGGAGTTTTCGGCAGAGGGCGGGGCTGTGGCGGCGCGGCGAAGTAAGGCGTACTGCCGTGGCCTTACGTTTGCCTCCCATTTCTTTATTTCTAAAGATGTCGTCACGAAACTTCTTGTGAGTGATCCTAGTCTGGCCCCCCAAAAAATCTGACGTGAACATCCGGTGGGCGTGGCCAATTTTCTGAAATAGCGCCCCCTAGGACCATTAAAACTGTCAGCCCCAAGCCATGCTTTGACTGAGGATTACGAAATTTGGTACACTAATGTGGTGTCTCAGGACCTACAAAAAAGTCTCTTGGAGCCAAGTGCAAAGTCGCACAGGAAGTCGGCCATTTTGGTCCAAGTACGCGATTTAGTGGTTTTCGCACACGTTGTTTGGAGAGTGATGCTCCGTCGCCCTTTTCACCGATCTCCTTCAAACTTCTGCTTTATACTGTTAAGACATAGGGGAAAAAATTCAACCGTCGGATTTTTCAAAAGTTGAAAGGTGTGGGCGTGGCTAAGCCTCAAACTTTGACCTGTCGCCACGCCACTCTTTTTTTCACAGCTCCCTATTGGACTCCTTTTACCCAATTACCAGGAATCTCTGGCAAATACGAGTAGACAACTTGAGGTCACTTGGTATCCAGTCCTGTTAGGTTTTGAAAAAAGGTGGGGCTTTGAGAGCATGGCGAAATTCGCCATCACGCCATGGAAATACGTTTGCCTCTCATTTCTTCAGTTATCGTGACATCGCTACGAAACTTCTGGTGAGTGATCCTAGTCTGACCCCCAATAGAAATTGAGAGATGCAGTTTGTGGGCGGGGCCTATTTTCTGAAATAGCGCCCCCTAGGACTATTAAAACTAACAGCCCCAAGCCATGCTTTGACTGAGGATTACGAAATTTGGTAACCTAATGTGTTGTCTCAGGACCTACAAAAAAGTCTCTTGGAGCCAAGCGCAAAGTCGCACAGGAAGTCGGCCATTTTGGTCCAAGTACGCAATTTAGTGGTTTTCGCACACGTTGTTTGGAGAGTGATGCTCCGTTGCTCTTTTCACCAATCGCTTTCACACTTCTGCTATATACTCTTAAGACATAGGGGAAAAAATTCAACCGTCGGATTTTTCAAAAGTTGAAAGGTGTGGGCG